CACTGAACAAGTTGAGAGGAGGGAGGCATTTTGGTCAAGCATAAAGCCAGCTCACTTTGGTGTGAAGATAGCTTCAAAATCTCCGTTAGGAGTTGTTCGTTTCATTATAGTCGGGCTGTTCATTGGTCTCTTTGGTAAAACTGGTTTAGGGAGGTGGCTGCTATTGAAATTCCCTTCATTGTTCAGTCTTGGATGGTTCAGGAAAAAAGGTCCAACTGAAGATGAAGTGGCAAGTGCTACCTTTAAGATGTGGTTTGTTGGACACGGGTTTAGCGATGGCAGTCTTGCATCACAAGGAAACAGGAAGCCTGATACAGAGATAATTACAAGAGTAATGGGACCTGAGATTGGTTATTTAACAACTCCAATCATTCTTGTCCAGTGTGCTCTCATTTTGCTCAAGGAACGAAACAATCTTCCAAAAGGAGGTGTTTTCCCACCTGGGATTGTGTTTGGCCCAACCAACCTCCAAGACAGGCTTCAACACAATGGAATATCTTTTGATGTTATTTCAAAGAAGACAATCTAACTAAATGGTAGTGTTCCCTTCTATTCACATGGAAAAACTTGAACTTCTTCTAAAGGGAGAATGATATTAGTTACTTATGCTTTCATTGCATGTTTTTCTTCCAGACGTTTTACTGAATGTTTATATGCTTGCTTAATACCTTAAGGTGCTTCCTTGACATTTTTCTTTCCGTATTTAGATTACTGGATAAGCTCTACTTTGTTTAACAATTTATTAGGTCTGTTAACTCCTGTGGATCTCCGATATCAGGATAATTGACTGCATTTGATTCTTATTGTGCTTTAACTTATTCGTGTGTTGTTTGCCTGCAATCTTTTGACTTTAACAGCATACGAATTGCAGTTACAATTATTTTTACTAGCAAAGGATCAATAGGAATGGCATAGATACATCATTTTTGTTCTGCTGTTAATGTTTCGATGAATTTCCTCAGCCTCTTCTCTGAGCTCCCTCCGATTTCCTTGGCCTTCCTAGCTTGTTTCCTCACTTTCATTGCATTTACCTTCATATTAACATCTCCCATTAAGTTTTTCACCATCTCTGCAATCTCCCCACCATTCACTAGATTTTCCTCACCCCAACCCCATTCTTCTATCCACCTCCCCAATCCTGCCTTCTCTACAACTTCTGCATTCAACTTTTGATCACCATGCTGTGGCCACGCCATCATTGGCACTCCTGACCAAGCTGCATTCATCACTGAATCCCATTCGCACTGGTTCACGAAAAGTCCAATGGCTGGATGGTCCATAATAGCTGCCTCATAAACCCCTGGTTTCATTATTTTCCCTTTCTTTTCCATCTCTACCAGGACTGTATTCCCAAACAACTCTAGAAGCTCTTCTTTTAGCAACCATAGAAAATTATATCCGCATATCTCTAGTCCTTGTCCTATTTCTCTTAGTTGTTGTGCAGAAATCGGCTCTCTAGTACCAAAGTTAACATATACAACTGATTCAGCAGGTTGTTCATCTAACCATGAACACTGATTGTCTTCTCCTAGGTTGTAATTTCCCACAGGACCAACAGGAAAAACAAGTGGAAGTGAACTGGTTATTCTTCCATCATCGAGGGAAGCAATTGTTTCTGGTTCAAACCAGTCAAAGGTGTTCAGAAAGACACCAGTCACTTGAGGAAGAGCTCGAGTATTTGGCAGCAAGTAGTCTTTCAATACATAGTTTGATGGTGAATCGTCCAGCCATGAACGAGGGATGCTTGATTTTGGAACTGATCCTATACCTGGAATCTCAAGATTGCCCGAGCAGTACTTAAATGCATCAGGATCTTTGGATAACAGTACAGGAAGGTACGCTACAGTAGAGTAAAATTTAGCTGATGTTGTGGAGATATTGTAAAGAGGAATATTGAGATTATTAGCTATTTGTGAAAGACTAGATGCAAGAATAAAGTCTGAGACAATAGCAGAAACTGGTTCATCCAAAGAAGACAACAGAGGGCCGAGCTGGTGAAGTGAGTTACTAATAGCATCAATTTGCATGATGAATGGATCACTAATTGAAGAAGTAGAGGTATTCAAAGGAAGAATTTGAAAATCTAGTCGATTGATTTCTGGGTGATTGGCGAAAAAGTTGTTGATCAAGATGGACTCTGTGGTAGATATTTCAAGTAGCATAGTGATGAAGGTGATTCTACATCTGTGTGAAGCTAACATGGAAGCTAATCGAAAAAATGGAACCATTTGTCCCACTCCCAGACCACTTGGGAGAAATAATATGTGAACTGGCTTTGCATAGTTGACAATAGAATCAGACATCTCCATGGCTGAATTGAAGAATGATTTCTGCAGAAACAGAGTGATTAATTAGATGTTTTTAAAAAAGATTAAGGTGTGGCCCCGATCATATAAGTTTAGTACAATTAGGTATTTGATCGCTTTCATATGCTTGTTTGGTAGTTTGAGGAACAGTGAAGGAATCAACTTTGGCATCTGAAACTATATATTATACATGGACCATGGTGAATGTGATTGTGAAGGCTTCGGGCATTATGCGCGGCTAAGAACAAAGCAAAAATTATCAGGTTTATATTAGTTGTTACAAATGTTTTCAACTGTAATTAGCTAACTGGAAAAATAATTGTTTAACCCAAACACCAGGGGAGAGTAATCTGAAATTTACTAAAGTAAAGCACAGATTTTAGTTCAGAGAAATGCCAAATCAATTTGTAATTACTAATTTATGCTTAGTTAATCATCTATTAATCATTTTTTCGCAACAATAATCACACTAAATTTTCAAAAAATAGAGTTTAACTTTCTTCTTGAACTCCTCACAATTTGAGAAAAAATAATTTCGAACCACAATGACCGAATCCGAAATTTTACCTTCCAATTTCACTCCATTTACTTTTTTGTAAAATTTTCCCTTTTACATTTATGAGCATTTGTTTGTGGATTTTAGTTTCCGAGTTGGATGCAAAATGAAAACTGAGTAGTATTTATTAACTTGACACAAGGATTAAGAAACACTAAATGATGGGGGTAATTTTATCAAATCACCCTTATTAAATATAAGTTATCTAATATTGAAAAAGGAAGTGTTAAATGGCCGGAAAATTTAAAAAATACAATATTTTTTTAATTTTAAAATAAACTAATCTTTTTTTCATTTTTTTAGTTAAAATATATTTAAATTAAAAGGATTAAAATGTTTAAAAAGGTAAAATAACATAGATAATTTCTGGCCAAATTTTTTTTTTTCTAAAATTATAGAAGGGCTCTACAATATCTACTATCATGAATTTGATTGGATCATAAAGATTTTTTTTATATTTTGTGCCTCATCAGTCATCACACAACTTGTGTTTTAATAACAAGTGTAAAATAAACATAAAATTATATATTACTCATTGATTTTATAAACTGAATAATTATTGTTGGACATTCCAAATAAGATAATGTACAAGTAAATATGGACTATTGGAGTAGTTAATTTTCTCTATGTTGCATCAAATCATTTAAATGATAATTATAGCTATGAGTACTCGTTTATTAATTACTTGAAAAATAAAAGCAAATTACTTATTTTTACTAATGATCAAAATATTTATATATAAAATAATGATCCTAATCTAAAGTAGTTGTCAATAATAAAGAAATATAAAATCAAATTATGTGGTACCCAACAAGCAGGAGAGAAGAAGAGAGAGGGCTCTCAGAGAATCTAGAAAATGTGCTACAAATACCTATGTCTTTCAGTTCCTCAAAAGACCAGAAAAATAAAATCTGTCAAATATTTTATTTTATTCATTTAGTTACTACTTTGTTGTTATATAACTATCAAAGATAGCCAATTGGGTAAAGAAATGATTGAAAAGTGAAGCAAAAAAAAAAAAGTATATGAAGAGACCACGTTTTTGAAGTCATTGCTTTTTCAAAAGACTTCGTGTTTTTTTCTCTGTAGAGAGAGAAACAAAGATCTTATCTGGGATCTCTCTAGCTTCTTTTGATTGATCACACCACAAGGGTACTTTTTTTTTTTAATTTAAATTTTATTATATGGTGTTTTTAATTGAATTCTTGATTGTGGATATGATTTTTTTGTTTTTAAGGTTTGTGAAGTGACAACACAAAGGTTGTTGCTTTTCTTGTTTTGGGTGTGTAGGGTTTTATTAAAAAAGGAATTTCTGTGACAAAACAGAATTCTTATGCTTGTTTGTTCTTCTGAGACTCAAGATTGAATTTCAAGTTGTTAAGAAGAGGAGTTATAAGAGATTTTTTTTGAGGTAATTTAAAATTTTCACTTTATTAATTTCTTTTATGTTGTTTACTTGTTTTTCAAGTGTTATTCTCTGTTTGCCTTTTGAGCTTTCATGTATTGGATTTGATATTTATGTTTTGATTATTTGAAAGGAAGAAAGTAAAAGAGAATTGGGAAATTGGACCAGAAGTTTTTTTTACTGATATTTCATATCTTTTTTGGGTAAAATCGAACAAGGAGTTTTTATTTTATTTTTTCATGGATAAGTAAGGAATTAATTCATAGATTGCATTGCCTTCAATTCCAAAATTTGAACCTCACTGGCAATTTGACAGGGTGTATCGTGCCTGAGGAATTCCTCACTTGGCCTCCGTTATGATTGTATTTGGTGTGCAAAGAGATAGCAGTTATACATGAATGCATTGGGTTGGTATACTTGAACTTGTTCTGTAAGACGAAAAAAGTTATGCCTATGGCTCAAAAGTAGAAGTATAATGCAAGATCAACGGAAGCACTTTCCGTGATCTGAAGACATGTTTTAATTTTGGAATTTCCTTTTCATTCGCATAGCCAGAAGATTTCTTAGCATCGTGGATCTTACTAGAATTTTCAAGCGATTACTCTGGCTTGTTGAACTGAAGTAGATTGGATTGACTGTTTTTTTTTACTGAGCTTGCAACTGTGTTATAATCCCTCTAAAAAATTTGCAAGATTGTAATAATCTGATTTAGAGTCCGTTAAGTCTTATTCGTGGTGTTTGATCTTTTTGCTGTCTAGTTTGCAGTTTTTCAGTCTTTTTTTCTCTCTGTTTAATTGTTTTACTGACTTAATCATTTTTCTACCCCTTGTATGATTGCAGGAATGGGCACTAAAGTACAATGTAAGACGTACTTGCCAGGATTTTGCTCCATGAGTGATCTAAATAACAACGGAACTAATACCCCATGGCTCTTAGATCATGAAAATAAGTCGAGGAAAAGAAGTCAGTGCACTGATTCAACTTTGTCGTCGCAACCAATTGATGGATACTCGGGATGTGACAGAGAAAAAATGAGGCAGACAATTCTGGAGCATGAAACAATTTTTAGGCATCAGGTACATTGACTTTTAACTATTTCTCACTCAAATGGTTGCATTTCTATGGAGGGCTAAAATAAAGAGATCATAGTTTTAACATTTATGTGCTCTTGATGTGGTTTACACGTACAGATCCAAGAACTCCACCGGCTATATAGAAGACAAAGAGATCTCATGAATGAACATCAAAGGAAAGAAATGTTTAACAGTCAAATGAAGATATTCCAGTCTAGTCCCTCATTGTCTCATTTTCCTTCATTGGATTCTATAGCTGGCCAGCTATCAACGAAAGATGCTTCTAAGTACAAATCATCCTTTGATTTTACAGAGAACGATAGTAGGTCCATTCATTTCTCCCCTCAAGTCACAAACAGTTCAAGGGAATGTGAACCTCACCAGCCTGGTAGCAGTTTGTTCCAGAGAAAAATGTTCAACTCTAGATATGTAGTTGAAGAGTGCACGAATAACGAAGAAGAACAAACTACTATGAAACAATTGGGATTAGCCGGCATTCAAGGGAACCCTGTTGAGGGAATTTATCCAATCCCCCGAAGAAGAGATGTGAAGACACCTAGAGCTTTAGAATTTCATTCTGATGCTGATCTCGACAGAACCAATTCCTCAAAAAGGACGGATGAACTGGCAGACTTGAATAAACCTTTACCACTTGAAGAAGATCCTCCTTTGGTGCCGGATATCAATATAAGCAGCATTACTTGCCTCGAGGATGGCTGCTTTGACGGGGAGAAGTTCTCTCCTAAGTCACTCAAGGAAAGGATTGGTAGAATTTGCCTCAACCACCCGCCTTGCAGGAATGAAGAAGAGCAGTTAACTTTTAAATTTAATGCTGGTAAGAATGTTTTCATGATGTAAACCTGTCTTGTTACTTTTCAACTGTATCAGTAGGCAGTTACTTTTCATATGTTTCATTAGAAAGGAGGATAAGCCGATAAGGAAGAATTTTTAGCTAGTATCCAATGCCACTTCCAAATTGACTTTCTTGACTTAGAGAGGATTCCCATATGGTGTGTCCTTTCTATATATGGATATTATGGGAAGACTAAATATATGTCAGCAACCTTTATGGTGCGCTACTTTAGTTCTAGTTGTGACTTTTTCTTGCTGAGTTATTTGTTAAATGAGTTGCAGTATGCATGTTTAGATGGACTACCAAAAGTAGGAGCGGAAAGGGCCACCGTAATAGTCACAGAAAGATCTCTTGTTGTGTAACACCTCTTCATTTGATATACTGCATCCCCGTTTTCTTTCAGTGCATAGATAGTTGTTGAGGTTAATGCATATTATTCTAGTAAACAGGTCTCTATTATTGAAAAAACTCTTAATTTTGCGCAATAGTCTCTACTGATGTTTGGACCTACCTCCTTATTTATTCTTTCCAATTTTCATATTTTCCTCTTTTATAAAGTAGAGGTCATGATGCAACAATCACACATGCCTTGCATGCCGTATTTTATATTAATATTTTGCTACTAACTTTCGTTTTGATCTCATCTTCTGTTACAGAGCAAAAGCAACCAGATAACAGATCTTCTGGAAGACTTGAAACTGCTGAAAATTTACCTAAAGCCTGTCAGTCATCACAAGGTCATGAACTTTTCAAGCACTCTCTCATTAAGGAAGCCAAGAATGAGCACCCGAAGAAAAGGACAATTTTTGGTGTTGAAATTCATGAAGAAAATCAAGTACAATCTGCTAGCTTTTCCAATGTGCAAATGTCTACTCATAAATCTCAACCACTTTCTCAGAGTTATACTGAACTTCTGCGAAACCTTGAGGCCTATCAAGGCAATATGCATATGGGAAGTGATGTCAGATCAGATTCAAGTTCAAAGAATGTACTTCCAGACCAAAATGTTCTTTGTAAAAGATCTCAGACAAGTGCTAAAGATTGGACAAATACTTTCAATCGTGTGAATGACATGGATTGTAAATCTGTTGGATTAAAGAATGCCAGAGATACTTCTGGTGTATCTCAAACTGAAGCTGCTGGAAAAACACATGTATCTGGAGATTCTCAGAGGAAGCAGGAAAACCCCCGGGAAACATTGCCTTGGTTAGTCGGGAAATCACAGGAATGTGTAGAGCAGACCAAAGGGAAGGAAAGTTGTTATCACTTAAATCTGGACTCCTTGCAGAATTACTCCCAGCAGTTTTTTAGAAGAGAAGACACAGCAGTCAACTCCTCTGAATTTATAGATCAGAGATGGGGAACCTTGTCATCGATATCCTCCAAAGGTTCTGAATGCCAGAAAGTTGAAGTTAGTGACAGCACTAAAATAAGGACAATTTTTGGTGCTCCAATTTTCAGTGCCTCCAAGGACTCGCATGCAGCCCGTTCTCTCTCAAAGGCCACTTTTCCTGATATTGACGGTGTTACTGCCACAATCATTTCACGGGATGAGACTGTTTGTACAAAGAAGGTGGAAGCTAAGGATTTTGTTCAAGAAAAAGAACTAAATGGTTGCACTTCCGGTTTAAGGTATCAGATTGATTTGAACTTGTCTTTAGATGAAGAAGAGGCACCATCCGCACCTCCTCTTCCTCAGGCTGTGGTGAGGATTGCAACCACTGAGATAGACTTAGAGGCTCCAGCAGTTCTTGAATCCGAAGAAGAATGTGGGAATTCTAAACTTGCATTAGAAGAATCTAACAAGTCGAGTGAGGAAGCCATGAGGGTTGCTGCAGAGTCTATAATTTCGATCTCAGCGTCTAGTTCTGTAAATGGAGATACGAATGATGCGTTGCAAACTGAACCTAGTGACTGCCTCAAATGGTTTGCTGATTTGGTCTCCTCCCACTCTAGTGGCCAAGAATACATTACTAGAAAGATCAGCTCAGGTACAGTGTCCGGGTTTGATGAGGAATCCATTCCCGATGGCTTTGATTACTTTGAGTTTATGACACTCAAGCTGGAAGATTTGAAGGAAGAAGAGTATTCCTATAAAATGCTGACAATGGTGAGCCATAATGACGAAGAAACGGGGGCCACTACCTTACCAAAACGGCCTCGAAGAGGGCAAGCAAGAAGGGGCAGGCAACGGAGAGATTTCCAGAGGGACGTTCTTCCTGGTCTTATTTCCCTGTCAAGGTATGAGGTGAACAAGGATATTCTGGCATTTGAAGAGCTGTTTAAAGCTAGTGGATCCTCTTGGCAGTCTAGCTTATCACATAGGAAAACCGGTAAGAGTGGCAGGGGAAGGCGTCGTTTAGCAAACGCTGATCCTTCCCCAATAATTCCTGCTGATTGCACACCTCCGGTAAACCAGCCTTGTTCTAGTGAGCTGGGGCTCGAGGAAAAAAGTCTAACTGGGTGGGGAAAGAGAACGAGGCGCTTGCCAAGGCAGAGATATCTAAACCATAATCTTACTCTTCCTCTGAAGCAATGTTGATGTATAGGTTAGACTCACATCATGAGTTTGAACCTTGCTGCAGAAAAAAAAAAACTTGATAGAGGGGCGGGTCTATTATCATCAAGTTCTAAACCGTGTGCCATCTGGCCCTCGGGGATTTCTCATGATAAAAAAAAATGCTGAGGGAGAGGGGTGGAACGTCGGGGTATAAGAGCACCAAGGGTTATTGCAGCTTCTCTTAAGGGATCTCATGACCTTTAGAGCTTATTTTGTACATTTCTGTGTAAAACTTAAATGTCACATTCACTGCTTCAATACACTATTGTAAGAGTTTATTAATAATGCTACATTATTTTTCTACCTTAATAGAAATCAATCTAATTGGAAATGAGATAGTCGGTGTATTCATCCATCAAAATTAGGAGTAATTTTTTGTGAAAAGTATAACCGAATAGATATATTTGAATTGAAAGTATAACATGAGATAGTATTTGGATTAAGTCTCAAAATATATTTTACGGTAAAGTGTCAAAAATACTCCTAAACTATATGAAAAGATTTTAAAATACCCTTCATCCATTTTTTGGTCTAAAAATACCCTTTCATTCATCTTTTTGGCTCACTTATACCCTTGAAACTAACAATTCTCTCTTTATTCTTTATTTTTAAAAAATATTTATTATGTGTCATTCTCCTATTGGATAATATAAATAGCCCACCTCAATTAGATTAGGGATAATTTCAGAGACCTCCCTTCAGGTTTCGCTCTATAGCACTCATCTCCCCTGTGGTTTACGATATTACGTCTACCTCCCTTATTTTCATTTTCTTATAACCATTCTTTAAATCTATTTAAAATAAATATAAATTAATTTAGATTTGACATTTTTACCCTTCTATATATTAATTTCTTTATATTAATAAATATTATATAAAAAAAACTCATTTAACAAATACTTTAAAAAGTAAATTAGCACAAATGCATTAATACTATTATATATATACACGTGTTTTTTTATCAAACAAAGATCAAAGTCTTCATTCAAGCTGATCCACCATTTTCACCAAATATTAACTTTTCATCTTCATTTCACCTTCACCAATTCACTGATGATTTTTTCCCCACAATAACCCATCATTTTCCGGCAACAATTTCTTCAAATCGAAGATAACCCCAAGAGAGAAATCCGATAAGAACGATCAGATTTTGTTCTAGATAAACATTTCCACAAGCTAAGAACAAAAATGATCCAAGAAATAGAGATAAATCGTTGAAAATTAGATCTAAGCTTGCATGGTGGTCAATACTAGAGGAAGCTATTAGTTTCTCAAAGCAATTGAATTTGTAATTTCTAAAGTGACGACATAATCGTTGATTGCAGTAGTGATGATATGAGATTTGCAGAAGAATACCTAATTTGCTTGCTTTTGCAGGGAAGATGGCTGACTTTTGCGAAGAAGAATGAAGAAAATTTGAACAAGACCGATAAAGTGGAAGTTTGAAGAGAAGAGGACTTTTAATTCATAAGAAAATTTATTTGTCCTGATTTATTTTTAAAGTATTTGTTAAATGAGTTTTTTTTATATAATATTTATTAGTATGAACAAATTAATATATAGAAGGGTAAAAATGTCAAATCTAAATTAATTTATATTTATTTTAAATAGGTTTAAAGAATGGTTACAAGAAAATGAAAATAAGGGAGGTAGACGTAATATCGTAAACCACAGAGGAGGTGAATGTTATAGAGTGAAACCTAGAGGGAGGTCTCTGAAATTATCTCATTTGATTATTTCTCATTATTTATCCAAACCAAAGCAAATATACCTCTTCAAAACTCCAATTTTTTTTTATATAAAAAGAATATTGTAGTTTTTTATTATTTATTTATTTTTGGATTCAACTCCTCTCCATTTTCTCAAATTTTTACTTATTGAAGACTCATGAAATAAGAAAAAATTAACGGCTAATATTTAATTAATTAAATCAAGATTCTAAACATGATATAGATGATTAATATTTTATAAACAAATTTATTATGTCATAATCATAACAATATATTATCTTATCCATAAATACATACACACATTTTTCTCTATTTTCCTACTTAAATTTTCCCTACGGCTACGACCGTCCATCTGCTTTTTTTTTCTTTTTTTTAAGTGAGTTAATTTATAAGTAAAATTGTTTGTGGAACTTTTTCTTTGAAAAGTATTTATCACAAATTAGCAAAAAAAAATTAAGTTAACAATTTTTTTGTTTATTTTAAAAAGGAAGATAGATATTGTGGCACTATTAATATTCTTATAATATATTAATTATTTAAAACAAACTTTTTTCAAATTTTTTTTAGAGCAAATACAAAAATTACTAGATTTTTTTATTTAAAAAATGGGGGTCTTGAAGAGGTATATTTTTTTTTTATTTGAATAGATTATGGGAAAAAATTTAATAGAGATGAGATTTTTATTTTATCTAATAAGAAAATGACAAATAATAATTTCTTTTAAAAAATAAAACAACAATGGAAGGGTATTTTTAGACCAAAGGATGGATGAAGGGTATTTTTGAACTTTTTTCCTATAGTTTAAGGATAGTTTTGGCCATTTTCCATATATTTTAAAACAATTTGTACTTATATTTAGTCCTTTTCCGTTTTGAAAATGACTCAAATTGTACCTATTTATATTACTAATTTTTTAAACCTCCTCATTTGTCACTTCCTAAATAATTTAATCAGATATTTCTTTGAGACTATTATAAGCAACACACATGGCTAATTGATTAGAACTGTTTTCTTTTGTCTTAAATATATTTAAAGTTCAATATTTTTGTTAGAGAGTGATTTGTCTTCCATGTGAATCTCCCCGCACACAAATTCGAACACAGGATTAAAAATCAGAATATAAAAAAGAGGTCCTACCGGGAGTCGAACCCAGGTCGCTGGATTCAAAGTCCAGAGTGCTAACCACTACACCATAGAACCCTATTTGCATAAATACTTTATTATAAATATTACTCCGTCCGTTTAAAAAAGATCAACCTCTTTTTTTTTTTTTTTTTTTTAGTCTATTTAAAAAAAAATGATCTTTTTTTTTTGTAACACTTTAGTTCTAATTTTTTTATGTGGCATGTTTAAGATCACAACATTAAAGAACAACAAAATTCAAAAATCTTTTTTATTTCTTAAACTTCTTATCAAGTCAAACTAGACCACTTTATGAAGTAATATTATCGTCAAAACCACCTGTTGGGGCTTGTGAAGACTTTGTTTGGCTAAGGAGAGAGTGTTTGATGGCATACCATTTCTGGACGTGGGAAAGAGGAGAAAGGGTGTTTGTTGGCATACCATTTCTGGACATGGGAAAGAGGCTGGACATGTTAAAGAGTCCATAGAATGCTATACCTTGATAGGGGAGACCGAATCACGGGGATTTCTACTTTCCCTCTTCTGTTCGTCTCCAAAGTCCACTCTCTGATCAGCTCCCGGAGATAATCGGAAAACCAATCAAACTCTTTTTTGATTTCCGATGAAAAATATGTCTCAGAGCCTTAATCCGAATCCAATTTACGACGTGATAATCTTAGGTGTGGCTAATATGGACAAATTACAGGAGCTGCAGCGGAGCAGACCAAAGAGGCCTCATCCTGTGGTAAGGCTTCATTTCATGTTGATACTGATGATCTTGGTCTCAATTCCATTACCCAACCATCCAATGTGAAGAGGTTTTTAGTTCTGGTTATCCAGTTACACCTTAAATTGCAGTCATGGTAACATCTTACTTTATTTAGTCATAAGGTATTTGATCGCTTTCATATGCTTGTTTGGTAGTTTGAGGAACAGTAAAGGAATCAACTTTGGCATCTGAAACTATATTATACATGGTGATTGTGAAGCTTGGGGCATTATGTGCAGCCAAGAACAAAGCAAAAATGATCAGCTTATATTTACAAATGTTTTCAACTGTAATTAGCTTCAAATTAACTGGAAAAAAATATGTATAACCCAAACACCAGGGGAGAGTAATCTGAAATTTACTAAAGTAAAGCACAGATTTTAGTCCAGAGAAATGTCAAGTTTACCAAATGCCTTCATATATTTCATATTTGTGATGCCCTCCTAATCTATTAATCTATTAGTTAATCCTCAAGTATACGTAATATGTCTATAATTCATTGGAATCCTACTAACATTTAGATACTCACCTGTCCAAGAGGTTGAATACACCTTTGATAGGCATGTAAGGGTTAGATGAAAAGACATATATTACATAATTATCATTATTCTTTCTCCTGGTTTGATATCACAAAATCATCATTTCATAATTTCATTGAGCTTTTCTCAAATGCCAATTACAAGAATATACTATTTAAGATCTTAATTAACGGTATATGTATGTACTCCTTTTTATTTACAAAACTAAGTTTAAAATTACAAACATGACACAATATTTAATTTTTTATTTTATTAAAAAAATACTTTAATATTCTATTTATTTTCTTTTGGGGGGTTATGTGCTAAATTCATGGGATTGATAATTATTGTTTACTTTTTGGTTTTTTTCATTATTTAAAATAATTGAAAGTGTTTAAAATGGATGTTTGATTTTTTTTATTTTATAATTGCTCTTATTTTTAATAAAGCTTGATATTTTTAAAAAGTATTTACGAAATAAAGGAGTATTTAATCTTTACTTATTGTTAAACATAGGGAGAAGCGAGAGAAATTTCCAGTAAGGTAAAGGTTTTACTCTTTTCGTCCCTCTTCTTCATAGTAAGTAATGTAAAGGTTTGACCTTGGATCTCTCATCTCTATCTATCTATCTTCTTCATTAGGATTAGGGCTACGGACCTTGCTTGCTCGTATCTTCTGTTTAAGGTAATTTATCATCCATCATTCATCACCTACTACTTCTTTTGTTTTCAAATTAAATGTGTTCCAACTCCATATCTACTCTCAATTAACAAACTTAATAAGCAAGTGGAAGATTTCTTCGTATGAATAAGATGGAAAATTGTAACTCCTCTCTAAGTAATTAACTGCACACTCGATGCAAAATTTGCAATAATTCGATTATGTTCAATTTACGAAAGAAACAAGAATTGACAGAGGAGAAATGATTGCCAGACTAATGTGTGTATTACGTGCAAGGAAGGAGAAACCTTTTTTTGTCTGTTGACTTACTCTAGCTTCCTTCCTTATGTTCTGTGCCCTCCGATGACTGAGAAAGTACCACTATATCCCAGCCAAATCCATATTAGCCTCTAAAAACTAATTTTACAGCTAATGAAAACTTTAACTACAAATTAGTTACCTTTTTTATTTAGTTGTTGGACTTTTAACCAGCTTTATTCAGGTCATTACATCTATAAGTTATATTCCAGTTGCTGCCTTGTCGTACTGATCTGTTAAGACACTTTTGAATTGAAATCTTGATTGTTCATAATTTTGCAGCCTATCTAGAAGCTGCGATAAACTGCATTCACGAGTGTTTACTATCTGTGCTATTCGTATTCCGGTGCTGTTGATTTGAAGAGCTCATGTTGTAAGCAGACTGTTCAGTGAAAGGATTTAAGGAATGATCCTCTCAGCACTTTTGACTTCTGTTGGAATCAATCTTGGACTTTGTTTTCTGTTCTTCACATTGTATTCTATATTGAGAAAGCAGCCAGGAAATGCGGAAGTTTATGCACCACGCTTGGTTGCTGAGGGGAAATCTCAGCAAACCAGTAATTTCAATTTGGAGAGACTTTTGCCGTCCGCTGGTTGGGTGACAAGAGCATGGCGACCCTCAGAAGCAGAGCTCTTATCCACCTCGGGCTTGGATGCTGTTGTTTTCATGCGCATTTTTATATTCAGGTTACTTAAGCACTGTTATGCGATGAAGGCTTGACGAGAATAATTTGTTTATTATAGCTTCTGTGCCGAACTTCACACCTTATGTTTATTTCCAGTGAGTGGCATTTACATTTTATATCCAGGATTTGCCTATACTAGATTAATTGTTCAATAATTAACCTGCCAGTTGTAAGAATAGGAAAGAAAACATATGAATGGTGCAATACACCGCTGATTTTGCTAACTGGAAATGTTTGGTGTATTACTCTGAAGTTGACATTTGGGTCTAAGATAACTGGCCATGTTATTCTTCCACCTCCACCAAACATGTTGAGGATGTCAAAGTGATCTTTTATCCTTACCATTGTAGTTCTATGGTGCAGTATATGTTATAGCAACAATTCTGCTGAGTTATTGACAACTTATACTTGTTACTGAAAAGACTAGGTGTTGACTAATATTGCTTGTGTCGTAGAGACTAGGTATTGGCTAGTGTGAGAAATAACTGAAGAGATTAGGAAAATGATTTACTTGATTGCTTTATGATTAATCTGGAGTTGAAGATACACCTATTTATCCGTGTGAAATATACAATATATGTTCACCATGAGATGATATATAATACACCAACTTAGCACTTCTAACACTACCACTGGAAATTTTAACACGCCCTTCAAACTTGAGGTGGGATAACCAACTTGAGTTTGCTTACTATGGAAACATGGGAGCAAGTAGTCAACAGAAAGTGGCCTGATTACTATTGTCGAAAAAATCGCCAGAAAAGTAGCTGAAAAAGTAGTTTGTTGGAATCTGGCCAAAAAAAAGCAGTAACCATGAAGAGAATTTTTTTTTTGCTGGCTGGCGACAACCTTTCCGATTATGGGAGCATAGCTGCTGGAGAGGTTAACTAAAATGAAAGCAGTAAACTTTGAAAAGAAAAAATATATATGGCTGGTAGGCGGTCCCGGTCTAAAGCCTCCCTCTGGTAAGCCAGAACACTATTAAATTTCCACCAATTTTTTTTTTTTTTTTGATGACAAGGGAAACCGCAGCCGCTACTATGCAATAGCTCGCAAACCACACAGAAGAGATAATCCGCACCAGGCAAGCCTGATGCGACGAGCTCGACCCAGAAGGCAAATCCCTTGCTTTCGCAAGCTAGGGGTTTCGAACTTAGAGAAAATTTCCACCAAGTTCATAAATGCTTTTATTGCCCTGTGAGAAATAAGAGGTAATCAGCAGAATGTGGGGCCTGATTAGTTTGGTAAGAAGATGCATCTATCTAAAGGCGATATTGTTTTTCAATATCAGACGCTATCGAACTTGATTACTTAACACTTCTAACTCCTTATTTTGAAGATAAGAAAAAAACAACTCTACACCTTTAACATTGTAAAACTAACATTAAACTATAAGTTCAAAAGGGAGTTAGCGTTGAAGAAGTTTTCAGTATTCATTCAAAATCAGAACTCTGAATTTGTACCTAATTTGGATCCTCACTAATTTTTACTGTTCATGTTCATTGTCTTGAGCTAATCTGGTTTCCCATATCTCAACAGTGCTAGAGTTTTTACCTTTGCTGTCATCGTGGGGATTTTCATTCTTCTGCCTATCAATTACATGGGGAAACAACTAAGTCTTGATTTGTTTGACTTGCCCAACAAGTCTCTGGAATCATTCACTATCTCAAATGTTGACGACGGATCAAACAGGTAAACTGAAGACCTTCCACATCAAAATTTATTCAACTATGATGTCAATAGAGTTTTTTTCACTACAAGAATCTATACATGGTGAAAGTAAAATTGCCCTGTGGCAATAAAATTGGATCACATTCTTGTTTCTCCATGAAACTGAAATCGACTACCAGTCTTAGTCTTTCTCAGTTTGTACTGGTCTTCTCTTTTTTGGTGAAGCCATAGATTCTTTTGGTAACAAAGTGTCTATATCGGGATTTCAGATTAAAAAGATTTTCTTTGATATTATGCTGCTCAAATAGTGGTGTGACGGAATCTAGTCTGTGGGATCCTTGATGTATAAGTTTTCAACAAGAAGCACTTTGTTATCATTCCGACAATCGAGATTAAATGGAGAACAACTATGCAAAAGCCTCATATACCTTTTCTTTGACATGTGTGTATAATTCAATGTATCTTTGACTAGAATTTATGGTAGCCTTGATACTTGTGCATATATTTTTATTTTTCAATTTGGATGTCTTCTACGACTTATGTATTGTCTTGTTAAATCGTATTTTATCTTTCTCTTTCAGCTCTGCTCATGATAGCAGATTGCATGTAATAAATCACATGCATCCTAAAGTTTCTCAGCTATCCCAGACACTAGAAACTATCTGCAGAATGTTCAAACTGGGTCCCTTAAAGAAGAACATTCTTATTAAAGTTTTCAGTAACAGGTCTACACCTAAAATTCTGCATCTTATACATCAACGCATTATGGAGTCAATGTCTTGAACTAGTTGTATCTATAAATCATTTACCAATGAAACTTGAGAACGGATCATGTAATGCATTGGCAAAATACGTAGTTGGCACTAAATTAAAATCTGAGAGAGTTATTTGTTTCGTCTTTCAAGGTTATGGATCCATTTCTCAGCTGTGTATATCTTCACGGCAGTTGTTTGCTATCTTCTTTACTTTGTAAGTGATTTGACACATCTTTTGTTTTGTTTCTTGTTCATTCTTGCTAAACTTCAACTTATTTCCAGGAGTGTGACTATATTTCATCAAAGAGAATTTCTTACTTTTATTCATCAAAACCTCATCCACATCAGTTTACCATTTTAGTTCGAAGTATTCCAGCTTCATCAGGAAGAAGTCACAGTTGAAAGTTTTTTTTTCAGAGTATTATCCTGCTACATATCTTTCACGCTGGGTTACGTTGTCCGGCGAGCAAGCAAACTCCAAGGTCTCATTGTAAGAATGATATATAGCCACATTAAGTCTCATTGTAAAAATACTAGTATCTTTTTCTTCCTTTTCCGGTTTTCCCTAAGACCCAACACTTTTTCTTATCAAAAAGGCATCAAAAGATACGTACACAAGAATTTTGTATTATAAATAAATATAAATTATTTCAACTCTTTTCACTTTACGAATTTTATTTGGACAATATGTGAAATATTGTGAGACAATATTTTGCAAATATGATTTGTATTATGCATGTACATACGATCAGGCTTAATTGTGGGATGATTCTACATATTAATTGCTGGAAAAAAAAAACTGTCTACATTTTCTTTATCACACAAAATTTTAAGATGTTAAATTTAATAATATGAATCTTAATATTAATATAATTTATTATAATAATGTATTATAAATAAATGGCTTACATAATATGATAATAATATTACCACTGTTATAGGTTATTGACAAGAATTAATCTTATTATAATCTTATTTTTATAAATAATAATATTACCATTTGAAGTTAAATGAAAGAATTTATGGCCTATAATTTATTATAATAATGTATTATAAATAAATGGCTTACATAATATGATAATAATATTACCACTGTTATAGGTTATTGACAAGAATTAATCTTATTATAATCTTATTTTTATAAATAATAATATTACCATTTGAAGTTAAATGAAAGAATTTATGGCCGCACTATTAAAGGTTATTGGGTTTTGCCCGTGCTATTATCATTGCACGTGAAGTAAGTTAAATGAGAAAACCACATCAAAGGGGTGAGAACCCTTTGACATATTGCTGTTTTTAATGAGAAATCTTATGAGTGAAAATGAAGAGATACGTAAATAATTTTGTACCCACAAAGTTTATCATTAAAGTTATGTTTCATCATATTTTATTTTGATTGTAATTTATTTTCTATCATTTTAAAATTTATTACAAACAAGATAAATAAAAGCTAAAGCTATGCTAGAAAATTAATGAATTCGTATCAATGTTGTCAAAAAAATGGAGTTATGTCAAATTTTTTTGAGTTCCATAATTGATTTGTTTTGGTTGAAGAACTGTTCATTTCTTTTTAATTAATTAATGTGATTCTTTATTGTTGAATTACTTTGATATAAATTTATTTCAGATTGAATCTTACTGAAGATAAAAAAGGTCAATGTCTTAAGCCTATAATTGCCTATAACTTATAAGAATTAGCATTTAAAAAAGGGATGCATTAGTGTTAACTTTTTGTACAACATAATTTCTAATTTAAAATCGCAATCGAATATTCTTTAGAATATATGCATAAATTTATATTAAAGTGAAAAATCATTTTGAAAAAACTATTATAGTTATTAGCAAGCTGCTGTCTACACTTGTAAGTTGCCTGCTTGACATCAAACTTCGTGTCAAGATTGACAAAATTATCTTGCATTTGAACATTCTTTTTAAAAAATTATCAAATTAATTGAACGAGGATTCGTTGAAAACTAAGAATAAAATTTAAAAAACAATCCAATCGATCACTTATAGTTGTATCAACAATGCATATTAGCGTGCAAAATTAACATCAATATGAAAATAGCTAGGTGAAAAAGAATGGGACTTAAGCAACACAAGAATTCTTGACAAAATAATTAAAAGTTCTAGTACTAAGTAATGGTAGTAGCCCAAACTAAATAAGGGTGGTAGGCGAAACTATTATTTATTAAAAGAAATATACGATCAATCTATTCGAGCAAACCCTCTCTTTTTCGCTTTCTAAGGAATGCCAAGTTTGTTTGTTTATGAATTGGATATGCATCAATCTCTCTCGGATTGATTAAACTTTCCATATAAACAAAACCATCTAGAATAAAGGAAAGTGGATCAATATCAAACGACCATATTTGATCGTCACATGTTCTATAAATAACCTTTATTCCTCGTAATTCATCTCGGCATTTGTATCGAAGTAGCACTTTACCATCGGAAAAGCTATATATGGGTATAACTGAAAAAGCCCCATTACATGGTAATGTGAGTAACTTTATCCAAGATTCCTGAACACCATACTCTTTCACTATCCATAAATTGAAAGTGATTTCGTTACTATTAAAAAGACAAATCATACTTCCCAACACAGATATGCCCTCTTCAATAGTCACGCTTTCAGGGTATAAACCCACATTTTTTGGTAAGGGTATTCTCTTATATGTCTCATCTGAAATATTTAACGACATCATGGATTCAGAAGAATCAATACCAAGCCAGTGAAACGCTCCATTTACAAAGGACAAACATTCCTTACCATACAAAATAAAACCATCGCCGACAGGCCTAACTGAGGGCGAATAAATTTTTCTCCAGGAACCAATTTTTAGTGCTACAATTTCATCTAGTGCAGTGCCCTCCTTGTCAATCCTAAGGACTTTATAATCATCACTAGTCGAGTCATATCCCAATCCATAAGTTGATTCCTGTTCTGGCGATTCTAAAGGAGGAAGTACTATTGATTCTGACGTGGTGGGGTTCCATAGCAATAGCATTGTAGGCTGGTCCCGAGAAAGTCCGGTCCAAATCCCGATGAGAAACAAGGCATCGCAACAACAATACATTTTATAACGACTGAATGGTTTTGGAGCTGTATGTATATCATTAACAAGTAGTCGATTTGGGGATAAAGAAGTGCAATAGAAATTTAAATTTTTACCCCCAATAACAATAAGCAATTTTTGGGAATCAGGTTGATTTTTGGCATGATTGTGATGCTTCTTCTTAAAGTAAGGCTCAGCTAATAATGTCTTGCAAGATTTCGATACACATTTGAAACGAAAAAGAGACTTAACAGGAAGTTTAGTGAGAATGTCAATAAGTATTTCCTCCTCTAGAATGTCAGTTCCCATTACCATACTGGCGAAGATGAAGAGAATAAGAGGTTTTCAAGTATAATTTAATATTGTTGCTATGTGGTTTAGGGTTAAGTGTAGATATAAACCTATTAATATTGCTGTTATGTGGTTTAGGGTTAAGTGTAGATACAAACCTAAAAGGATTGAAGTACTAATTACAGTAATTTTCTTCCATACTTTAAGGATTAGAATTCTTAATTTTCCATTATTTTTAGTGTTAAAATTTGCCCCCGAGTAAATTCGTCCTTACTCCTTGTTCCATGCCCAGCTTGGGATTGCAGTGCAGAGATCGATGGCTTACAGAAGGCCCATTAAAGAAGAGAGATTAGGCCTGCTCTTCTTGCTCTCTACCCAAGCCCAATGCTTCCCCCTTTTAATCACAGGCCTGCTCTCCATCGAAGGCCCAATCTTAAGCCCAGTGCTTCTCCCTTTTAAACACAGGCCTGCTCACCACCCAAGGTCCAATCCTAAGCCCAGTGCTCTTCCCTTTTAAAGTATAAACACTTAGCAAACATTAACATCCGAAACGAACAACACATGTCATAAACTTCAGGGAAAATTACGCTGAATAGCAAACATTTAGCTTATATTAGTTACTATAACTACATTTTGAGAATATTGTAATTTGTGATTACAGTTTTTTTTTGCTATTCACCTGATTTGTATAATTCACTTGATTTGTATAATTCGGTTCCTGATTGAATAAATCCAAAATTTTGTATATATTTACCTAGCTATTTGTATACGATTTATGAAAAATTCATAATAAATTATCATGTGTATATATTGACAAGCGAAATATACATGTACATATATATCTTATCAGTTTGGACTTTAGAGGCGAAATATATGTGACTGGATAAGTCAACATATGAATTTATTTATTTTAACTCATCAGTCATCTAGAAATTTAAAAAGAAAAAAATAACGACTACATTTATAGGGTTATTGAAATTCAATAGCTATAAATATGCTATTTACCAAAAATGACTATAGTTTATATGTATATATACTAGCTGTATTTGTGTAATTTTTTTTATTTTTTTTAATTATACAATCATACAATTATAATTAGAGAGCACTAAATAAGGTATTTACTATAACTGAATCCCTTTAATTAGGTCTCTAAAATTCTCAACTTCTCAATTTTAAATTAATAACTAATAAATACCTAGTCAATGCATATCAACTTGGATTTCAATCCGTTTAACAAAAAGATTGAGATACATCATATTCAATTCTTCAATTGTCTCCATTTGTCCCACTCCCAGTCCACTTGGGAGAAATAATATGTGAACTCGCTTTGCATAGTTGACAATAGAATCAGACATCTCCATGGCTGAATTGAAGAATGATTTCTGCAGATGAAAGCGATCAAATACCTAATATTTTAAACGATTAAGGCGTGGCCCCGATCATATTAGTTTTGTACAATTAGGTATTTGATCGCTTTCATATGCTTGTTTGGTAGTTTGAGGAACAGTAAAGGAATCAACTATGGCATCTGAAACTATATTATACATGGTGATTGTGAAGCTTGGGGCATTATGTGCAGCCAAGAACAAAGCAAAAATGATCAGCTTATATTTACAAATGTTTTCAACTGTAATTAGCTTCAAATTAACTGGAAAAAAATATGTATAACCAAACACCAGAGGAGAGTAATCTGAAATTTACTAAAGTAAAGCACAGATTTTAGTCCAGAGAAATGTCAAGTTTACCAAATGCCTTCATATATTTCATATTTGTGATGCCCTCCTAATCTATTAATTTATTAGTCAATCCTCAATTATACGTAATACGTCTATAATTCATTGGAGTCCTACTAACATTTAGATGCTCACCTGTCCAGGAGGGTGAATACACCTTTGATAGGCATGTAAGTGTTAGATGAAAAGACATATATTACATAATTATCATTATTCTTTCTCCTGGTTTGATATCACAAAATCATCATTTCATAATTTCATTGAGCTTTTCTCAAATGCCAATTACAAGAATATACTATTTAAGATCTTAATTAACAGTATATGTATGTACTCCTTTTTATTTACAAAACTAAGTTTAAAATTACAAACATGACAGAATATTTAATTTTTGATTTTATTAAAAAAATATTTTAATATTCTATTTATTTCCTTTTGGGGGGTTATGTGCTAAATTCATGGGATTGATAATTATTGTTTACCTTTTGGTTTACCAATCATAATTTTACTCTTTTGTATTGTTTTTTTGCCCATGTCTTGAATTTTAGTTTTTTTTTCTTTATATATTTTAGTATACGAGTTTATTTCCTAATTTTGGGGATAATGTGCTAAATTTATGAAATTGATAATTATTGTTTACTTTTTTGCATTTTAACCATAGTTATACTATTTTATATTTATTTTATTTTGCCCATATATTAAATTTTCATTTTATTTTTTTTGTATATTTTAGTATCCGATTATTTCCTATTTTTGGGGGTTAAGCTAAATTTATGGAATTGATAATTATTGTTTACTTTTTGACCATAATTATACTCTTTATTGATTGTAGTGTTCTCTCACCTCTTTAACATTGTTTTCATACAAATATCTTTTTCTTTTATTGTGACAAAAAAGAAATTCTGAAATTTATGTACGTTATTTTTTTGACAAAATATTTTATTTTTTTATGGCATGACTTAAATAACCATTTAAATCTAGAAAGTTTATAAAGTAGTTGAAAACTTGAATATTATATAGATTTCCATAGAACATTGGTGTTGAGTCTTATATAATATGTTGATATTATATTACACCTCAATATATACCATATAATATATCAAATTTGTGTAAAAGAAAGAGCAACTTTCATTATAACAAACATAAAAATCATATTTGTACATTATAGATATAGTTTGCATAATTGCGCTTTACAACAAATTTTATGTTTGTTATGGAGCTTTTGATTTTGTATAATTTGCTAGATACATCCAATTTTATACAAATTGTTCAGTTTTGTATAAATTCATTTATACATTGTAATTTGTATAATAAGATCTATATTTGTATAATTATAAGTGTATAGGACGAAAATATATGTATTTGTATTTGTATATACACTTTTCTCTCGCTTTATACAAACACAAATGCATTTTATACATTTGTATACCGAATGGGTAATTGTATATCGAAAATGGCTAATTGTTTATCGAACCAGATGACGAAAAATGGGATGTTTGCTGCAAATTACAAATAAAATAAACTATGGATATAGAATTTAGGGAAAAGGGTCTGAAAAATACTTCAACTTTGGCCGAAATTGTTGTAACGATACCAAACTTTATGGAGGACCTTTTACCCCCCCTGCACTATTTAATAGTGTATTTTAAAGATATATATGTGCCTACGTGACACGTTACTATTTATAATTATGCAATATTTATGATGTCCACGTGGGCACATATATACATTTAAAATAGACTATTAAATAATGCAGGGGGTAAAAGGTCCTTTCCAAAGTTTGGTATCGTTACATCAATTTCGGTCAAAGTTCGGATATATTTCAAACCTTTTTCCCTAGAATTTAATTTGAATTAATAGTTTGTTATTTCATATAATTTTCCCTAAAAGAAATATATGTACCATATAATACATCAATATTGTATCATCTAAAACACCAAGTTATACCAATATTTAGTCACCTAAGATATCAAAATTACATCAACATTGTATCATCTAAAATACCAATGGACTCCATAGCTCTATCCACGCATGTTACACATAAGGGATATTTTGAAAAGAAATCAGAATTGCATCTCTTTTGATCTAAATAAACTTGGACACCCATATTGTTGTGAATCTTCATTGGCGGAGATGGATCCACTCATGACATATTTGAGTTCTAAATGATAAATGATTGTGTCCACACCCAATTGGGAAGATATAGTAGTAATCAAACCTTTGTATTTGGTGTTTGCATCATACATCACTCCTTCAATATCGAAATCCACGTAATTACCTGTATAAAATTACAAATTCTTAATCAATTTCCAAAATTAGTAGAATGAATTTCATAAATTAATTAAATTACACAATTTGGTAGTTAGATTGGTAAACGATGTTATACAAAACAATTGATGATCTAATTTAGTAGTTTGACCAACGTTTCACCAAAAACCTTATCAATAACAAATTGGCAAATTTGTTGTAATTAAACAACCCAAACCAAACTACATAATACCCTTGCGATGTATTATAGTGATGTATAAAAACTTAATTCAAACAATCAGTTACACCAAATAATTTATTTATTTTCAACTAACAATTATACATAATAAATACCATGACAAAATACGCAACTCAATACTAATTATCCAATTTAGACACCGATAGATGTTCCAAAATATTAAGTTGAAGTTGGCGTTTATACATGGTCTAAATATACTAATTACACCAATTCACATACCATAAGTATTTAGAAAATTAAGGTATACACTTCGTTATCACACCAATTCAGAAAAACAAATACATCAACACATGTAGTAGAGTATTAATTTGACACCAATTCAGACAAACAAATACACCATCATATGTACCAGATAACATACCAAAAAAAATTCAAATTAGGATTTTATATATGAACAATAACTAACATATAAATCATTTTTCAATTTATTATTTATACCAACTCAGATAATTAAAGAACAACTTTCACATATAGCAAACACAAAATTCATATTTGTATGTTATAGCAAAGTTTGCATAATTGCGCTCCATAGCAAACATAAATATGTATATTTTGTTATACATATACAAAAGAAAGCAGTTGTATAATCTGTTTTGATATACATATACATAAAGATCAATTGTATAAAGTGAGAGAGGCGAGTGAGCGAGATCAGGGAGAGTGGCGAGCGAGATTTGGGAGAGGGGAACGAAAATATATGTATATATACAATTTTCACGAATTTTATACATTTGCGTTTTTGTATAAAGTGAGAGAGGCGAGTGAGAGAGCGAGATCTGGGAGAGGGG